TGTATACTTGGACGCTCTGGTGTTGGGTGCATAGAAATTGATAATTTTACACCCGCTTACTGAATTGACCCCCTTTATCTTTATATAGTTATCATGTCTGCTTCTTTTTTACAGTCTTTGATTTTTTTTACTCTATTTTATTTGATATAAGTACAGATACTCCTGCTTTTTTTTTGGTTTCTAATTATATGAAATATCTTTCAACCTCTTCATTTCCAGCCTGTGTGTCTTTATATGAAGTCTGATGATTAAGTTTGTGAACTTGCCACCAAGTGCTTATGTTGGCAACACTGTACAAAAAACTTGATAAGGTTTCATAACCTTGGTGTATCAGTGTTTCACAACTGTGTTCATGTCAACATGTGGTGGTGTCTTACTGACAATTAAGCTCACGAACTTGCCACTGTGCACTTATGTTGGCAGCACCATACAAACGACTTGGTAGGTTTCATAATCTTGGTGTATCAGTGTCTCACAGCTGTGTTCATATTGATGTGTGGTGGTGTCTTGCTGAGTGTGGCATTCATTATTGTTGTGCTGTCATGAGATTGTTGGAGCTTGAACTAGAGCAATGACCAAACATTATATTTCTTGATAAACTTGGCAAGAGTGGAAGTGAAATCGGGGACTTGTTAGTTCATGCTTATGGGGAAATGCCATGAAGAAAACAGCAGTATATAAATGGATTAAAAATTTTTCTGAGGGAAGAAAAAGTGTCACTGGTGGAGAGGTCAGGATGGTCAGTAACAAACAGTACTGACGAAACATTGCAAAGATTCATTGACTTGTGAGTCAAAATCATCAGCTGACTGTGAGAAGTGCAGCAGATCAAGTAAATAGTGATAGAGAAACAGGAAAATCTTAACTGAAAATCTTGGCATGAGAAAGGTGTGTGCAAAAATGGTCCTGAAGGAACTCTTACATCACTGCAATGCACCAGTGAACACAGTACTGTCTATGAGGGAGCTTTTAACCAGTAAATGAATAAAACCCTCTGTACTCACCTGACCTGGCCCCCAATGACTTTTTTCTTTTTCATTTTTTTTTTTGAGTTGGAGTCTCACTCTGTCACCCAGACTAGAGTGCAGTGGCCACTCCTGGCCATTGCAGCCTCGACCTGCTGGACTCTGGTGAGCTTTCCACCTCAGCCTTCCCAGTAGCTGGAACTACAGGCGCATGCTAACACGCCGGGCTAATTTTTGATTTATTGTAGAGATGAAGTCTTGCCAAGTTGCCCAGACGGGTCTTGAACCCACGGGCTCAGGCAATCCACTCACTTCGGACTCCCAAAGCACTGGGATTACAGGCTGAGCCACCGAGCCTGGCCACCTTTTTTCTTTACTCCAAAATAAAGGAAATATTGAAAGGAATATATTTTAATGACTTTCAGGACATCAAGGGTAATATGATGACTGCTCTGATGGCCATTACTATCTGGGTCACTTACATTCAGCCTGAAAAAGTATATAAGACAGGTCTATTAGCAACAAATTCTCTCAGTTTTTTTTTTTAAATCTGAGAATGTCTTTTTTTTCTTTCAATTTTGGAAAATGATTGATTATTTTGTCCTTTTAGGCATTTTGTTTTTCTTTTTTTAAGCACTTCAGTTATGTTATTTTACTGCTTTCTGGCCTCCATTGTTTCTGATGATAAATCAGTGTTAATCTATTGTGGTTCTCTTATAAGTGGTGTGTCATTTTTTTTTTCCTTTCACTTTCTATATATATATATATATATATATATAGTTGGCTCTAAGAATTTTTGCTGTGATGTGTCTGTGGACATTTTTTGGCCTTTCTTTTACTTAGAGGTTGTTACACTTCCTGGATATGTAGGTTGGTTGGTGTTTTACAATAAATATAGAACATTTTCAGCCATTATTTCTTCAAATATTATTTCTACTCCTTTCTCTTGTCCTTTTTGTATTCCATTATGTGCATGTTGATGTTCTTAATGTTGTCTTACATTTTCTGAGGCTTTCTTCATTTTTTCCCCTCTCTGTTCTTCAATTACATAATCTTTATCAACCGATCTTTAGGTTTGATTATTCTTTCTCCTGTCTGTTCAAATATGTTGAGCTACTCTAGTAAATTTTTATTTCAGTTCTTGTACTTTCAACTTCATAATTTCCATTCGGTTTGGGGTTTTTATAGTTTCTAACTCTACTGATATTCTATATTTTATGTAGCACTGTCATCATACCTTCCTTTACTCTTTAATCATGATTTCCTTTAGTTTTTCATCATATTTATTATGGATACTTTGACATTTTTGACTTTTAAATATGACTTCTGGGCTTGAGAGTTTTTGTTGCCTTTTAAAAAAATTCTTGTACGAGTCAGACTTTTCTATTTCTTTGACTGCCTCATACTTTTTGTTGAGAACTGGACATTTCAGATAATATATTGCAGCAACTCTGGATATTGATTCCCTTTTCTGAGGCTTGTTTTTTGTTTAGCTACTAGCGAGTTATATACATATACATACATATTTTTTTTGAGTTGGAGTCTTACTCCATTGTCCAGGATTGGAGTGCAGTGACACACTCACTGCCACCCCAGTGTCCACCTGCTGGGCTCAGGTGCTCCTTCTGCCTCAGCTTTCCAAGTAGCCAGAACTGCAGGCAGGTGCTACCATGCCCGGCTAAATTTTGATTTATTGTAGAGACAAGGTCTCACCAAGTTGCCGGGACTGGTCTCGAACATGCAGGCTCAGGCAATCCACTCAGCAATATTATTTTAGTGAAATCTATTTAATTTCCACAGTATAAAGCCTGTGAAATTGCTCCTCAGAAGAGGTATAATTTTGCGTATGACCACAGTCTCCCTGGAATGACAGGACTTTGTCAGTTTCTCTAATTACATTCAACTGTTAAGCTCCACTAATTGCCATCTGCTTTATTTATATTTTTTCAACTATGTTCTGGGCATAAACCGTTCCACATACCAATCCAATTAAATTTATGTTCCTTTGAAAGGATATTTTTTGAGGTAGTGTTTGTGATTTGTTCTAATCCTAGAAAGGCTTTTTTGAGCTATCTCTTTCTTCACCCCCTTCCCCAGCAAACTAACTAGCCTACAGTTATACAGCAATTATACACATTATTTATATCTCTAATGAATCTGCTAGTCTCTTTTTAATTGCTTTGCAACACAACCTTCATCATTTTTAGAGCACCTTTAGGCTTGAACTTTCCCATACTTTATTGCAAATGAAGTCAGTTCCTTTGGGAAGGCATTTAGAACTGCTTTGTGACTCACTTCTTCCCCTTGGCAAAAATTTTAATCCTTGGCTCTGGAGTTTAGGATTCGGACAATCATGCACCTCTGAGTGACATTCCTGATTTAGGAGCTGAGTGTTCAGTGTGAGTGGGACAGTAGCTCCAGATATTCTTGACTTTCTTTTCCCAGCAAGGAACCTCTATTTTATGAACCATTAGATGGGTGATTGTGGCCCTGTTATCTCAGTGGGGCCATGGTCAGTGTAGAGCCACTGTCCATGAGTAGGAGCTGGGTGGAAGAAAGGATCCCCCACCTCTGAACCACACATACTGAGGACCTAACCTCTGCAAAAGGGAGATGGGGGCAGAATGGGAAATGCTGATGTTCTGCTCCTCCCAGGAAGACAGCTCTCCAACTATGGAACAGGGGAGAGGGAGCCCTATATTGTTGGCTGCATCTGTTTGGAGTGCAGTCTCACTTTACGGATCTGGGGGAGGAAGTGATGGTGTGGTCTTGGTTTAAATACCACAGGCTCTCATTGTTCTTGTTGAGATTTAGCAGACATTTTTGAATAAATGTTGCTTCTTAGGACAATTTCCAGAGCCTGGAAGACTTCTTTTCCCCCTAATTTTCAACAACTTCAGTTGGGAACAGGTCAGCAGAGCTCCTTATACTGTCATGTAAGAAGTGGACCTCTGGATGTAATGCTTCTCTGGTTATCATTCTTTGAAATAAGACACCAACATGGAAAGATCTGAGCAGATGTTTACTGAAATTGAATACTCACTGATGTTACCTGTTCTAAAAACAGTGGAAGTGATTGAATGGGCAAAGCTTACAAGAGATTTAGACATTTTGCTCACTTGGTCATTCAACAAACATGTATGGTGTAACCACCTGGTGCTAGAGACTGGCATTTCCTTTGGCATTTCCCTGATGATGTATAGGGTTGAATTAACAGAGTGTGAGCTTCATGAAGACAAGTCCATGTGTCTGGGTTTCATCTTTGTGAAAGCAGAATCTGTGAGTTGATCTTGATAGCTTTTACTCTGCAGACCTAATTTCAAGCAGCCATGGTTTTCGCCAACTATTTGATTTGTGAATAATATCATTTGCTTTCTCAACGCAATATATATTGTAAAAATAAAAATATAAAGTTCTTGTGTAAGTCTGCGTGGATGTTAGCAATGCTCATTTCTGGCACCAAACATTATATCTTCAGTGAATTTCCTGAACTTTTTGACCTTCTCAGACTTGTTCATTCAATTAAAAAAAAAGAGTACCTACTATGTACCAGGATCTCTTCTAGGTAGAGACAATACAGAAGTGAACAAGATATGAACAGTTCTGGCCTCCAGAATGGTTATGGGATACTGATTTTAGCAAGGAATTTACAAGTGGAAAGAAAAGAGATAATTTCAGAGTGTGATTAGAGGTCTGGAGTAAATAGACAAGGTCTGGATATGATGAAATTTAACCTTGGGGGAGGGAGGAGATAACTTAAGAGGGTAGGAGGGGGAAGGTTTTTCTTAAGTTATGACACTTAAGTTGAGCATTAAGAACAACCAGTAATCTTTTAGAGAGCTAGGAAAGTAGTTCTGATACAAGGCAAAGTCAAGGGCAAAGGCCCTGGGGCCACTAGCTTGTTGTATTTGAGAAACAACAGGCAGGCATGCATGAAGCCTACACAAGATGAGATTGAAGAAGATTGGAGGGTCCTGAAGTTTATGATACACAAAAAACTACTTTTACAAATAACCGAAGCACCTTCCTTTTCAGATGGTGGAATTGCACGGCTTAGAGTATATGGTGCTGGACAAAAAGACTGGACTGCAACAGATCTCAAAGAACCTGTTGACCTCGTGGCCATCGCTTTTGGGGGTGTCTGTGTAGGATTTAGTAATGCCCACTTTGGGCACCCAAACAATATGATAGGTAAGATGATGTTCTAGGATTTAGCTTTTTCCAGTATTTTGGGTACCCGCATTAAATACCCAATATGGTCAGACTGCTTGAAGAGGAAATGTACATCTCAAAGCATAGGAGTATGAGATTAATTTTTCATGTGGATGATTTGATGCCTTTGTAACATGAAATAAGTCAACAGCAAATTTTCTTTCTAATTTTGGCCTAAGTAGTTGCTATAAAATGAAAAATAAAATTTACTAAGTCTATGGTTATTTATAAATTTACTTAAACATTAATCTCAATGAAAACAATTTATGTGGCAATGCTAAGGTACATGAGATCTGTAACTTAATTACACCAATGCATTAATTCTTACATTTAAAATAATGTGATTTAACATTAAATAATGTCATTTTCTGTAGGAGTCGGCAGGGTAAAGTCTATGGCAGATGGTTGGGAAACTGCAAGAAGGCTGGACAGGCCACCAATATTAGAAGTAAGAAGTTAAAAATAGCTATGGCTTAAAGTTTTCCTAAAAAGCATGTTTGAGAAGTTTTTAAAACAAATTTTACATCAAAAACACTTTTGCTTATTTTGGAAACCTCACAGGCCTTGCTCTAAATGTTTGTTACCATTCTCCACATTTTCCACATTTCCTACCGTTTTCAGCATATTATTAGGGCAGAGACACAGAAGGTCAAACATGCTAGTCACTGTCAGCTACTTTAATGCAATTTTAGAATATTCGCCTGTTTCTTCAATTAAGGAACAAAAAAGGCAGCAAGCTAATGATACAAAAGCTATGAATAAATATGTTGGTAGATCTGGAGACAAAAATCCACTAGTTTAATAATTTTTTATATCTATTTATCCCAGAATGAAACCACTTATGTGAACTTGTGACCGATGGGGGGAGGGTTTGCAGGGAGTTGGGTGGGGTGGGGTGGGGGGGAATCTAGAGTCAATACAGCTGTTTACTTTGGCCAAGAAGTAATTTGAGATAAAGAAACCAAGACAAAGCAAACACATCTTTGAATTTGCAAAGCCTACTGAAAACTTAGTCAGAAATGCCCTCTCTCTTTTTGGGGTTGAATTTCACGTTATCTGATGGTTTCAGGTATCAATGAACAAAGACTCTCCTTTCTAGTAAATAAGGTTGAGAAGCAGATCAGTATCAATTTGATTAAGAAAATATCTACTTTGAAAGGTCAAAACAAGATGACTAGAGGAGCTCTAGGTTGAGCTAACCGTTCCTTGAAAGTATAACGCTCTGCAGGAATCTGTAATTGACACAGAAAATCATATCAGAAATATGTAAAAATTTACCAAGTACCTAGTTATGAAGAGACATTGAAAGAATAATAGCTGAGAGGCAATGAATACAGAGGTACCATTTACACATCAGGCCACAGGAAATGATAAACGCTCTTTTATAGTAAGAAATAAAACAGCATAGGTACAACACGTCAACCTTTTTTATCCATTGGTTTTCAGGATTGGTTTCTTGAATGACTCCAAGTTAGTTTACCCTTTTTGGTTCTTTTTTGTATTGCAGAATGGTGAAAATGGCATTCTCTTGTTTCCAGGCTGTGAATGGGCAGTTTTCCGGTTGGCACATCCTGGAGTAATAACTCAAATTGAAATTGATACAAAATATTTTCAAGGTAAATCCCAAGTCACAGGGAAGTACCTTATAATTGATGTGTTTAGTCTAAAGATAGCGTGGTGCTATGGGGGTGGAACTGAGGATAGCTGGGCTCTAGGCAGGACTTTCCCACTTGAGATGTGTACTTTTGAGCAAGTTACTTTCACTCTTTGAAGTTCAGTACCCCTTCTATAAAATTCAGCTTTGGGCTGGATGACCCCAAAAGTCATACAAGATTCCGTGATGCTGTAAAGTTCTCTTTACTGTAGGGGCTCTGAAAGCCATTTGGAAAAAGCCCATGAGACAGATAGGAGACATCTTTTTGCAGAGAAGGGCCCTAAGTTGATTGCTTCTAGAGGGAAGGTGAGCACGTTTTCCCCAGGCTTCTCTAAAAATTGTGTACTTATATTAGAAAAAACATTGGATAAGCAATTCCAATATTCTATATTTACTTCTTATGAAATATATATGTGTCATTACATGAAGAAAATTCAAAAGAGGTTAATGCATTTTTTTTCTTTTTGAGTTGGAGTCTTACTCCGTCGCTGAGGCTGGAGTGCAGTGGCACACTCATGGCCACCCCAGTGTCGACTTGCTAGACTCCGGTGATCCTTCCACTTCAGCCTTCCAGGTAGCTAGATTTACAGGCACATGCTACCGTGACCGGCTAGTTTTTAAAATTTATTTATTGTAGAGATGAGGTCTCGCCAAGTTTCCCAGGCTGGTCTCGAACCTGTGGGCTCAGGCAATCCACTTGCCTCAGCTCCCAAAGTGCTGGGATTACAGGCTGAGCCACCGAGTCCTGCCAGTTACTGCATTTGTATAATTGTTAGGTGACATTTTATTAGTACTGGATTGGGTATATTGTGATTGTTTAGCTGTCTTTGAATAAATGGTGTATATTTATATTCATATTTTAGATGAGTGATTTTTGAAAGTTTTGTGATTGTGACTTTACTTAATTATTAACTATTATATCAATGCACAATATATGATTAAGGCCAGGTTCATCATCAATAGTAGTGGATCTAAGTTAATTATTTCAGGAAGTCTTGGTAATTTTAGCTTATTTTTGGAAGCCTGCATTCTAGATCTGGTTAACTGGTCATGGTTTTTACTTTTCAACATGACTGACTGACAATCTGGTGAAATGGCAGCTTTGTTATTTTCTTGTTCATGCATGCTTGCATATTTAGTGATATCTTTCATTCACAGTGCTCTGCATGAATAGTTTAAAATCACTTGTTTATTTTTGTGAGGGATAGTTTAAAACCAGATAGCAACCAGCAAATCCTTCTCATCAGGTACCCCAAGCTGCAATAATCAAGACACTGCTGTTAACCCCTCAGAATACCTCCAGAACGATATGATGACAGTCACAAAAATGAGGGAGCATGCCAGTATCCACTTATACAAATAATAGAATACTATATTTATATTATATCAAATATGCAAGTCTTAATATACACACATATGTATATAAATGCATATATGTGTGTGTGTGTGTGTGTATATATATATATATATATCAGATAAATAGAAATGGTAGATCTAATGTTCTCTTTCTGTATCTTTTGTGTTTCCATATGTACCCCAGGGGTATGTTCAACCACCCTGATGTAACTGAAAAGCCAGGGATTCAGTTGAGGTCCTTTTGCTTGCTGTATAAGAACCAATCTCTGAGACAAAGAGTATTGCCAGGGAAGAATCCTTTTTAATTGTGTTATATCAATCAAGGAAAACAGGAGACCAGTCTCAAATCTTTCCCCAACCAATTGAAATTGGGTAGTTACATAGTGGGGTAAGGAGTGTGAAACAGCAATTAGGGAGGGGTAAGGAAGCAATCATGTGGAATTGCGGTGTCTAGATACTGTGATCTGGTGAGTTTCAGGCCCTTGCCTGAGGATTGGTTTCCCTAGAAAGTAACTCAGATAAGTCAAACATAAGTTTTAAGTTTCAAGACTGGGAGGGTTAATTCTATGTTTATTTTAAAAAAATAGTTGGTGCAGTGGCTCAAGACTGTAATCCCAGCACTTTGGGAGGCTGAGGTGAGGGGATTGCCTGAGCCCACAGGTTCGAGAACAGCCTAGACACCTTGGTGAGATCTCGTCTCTAGAGTAAATCCAAAAATTAGCTGGGCATGGTAGCAAGCGCCTGTAGTTCTGGCTTCTTGGAAGTCTGAGGTGGAAGAATTTCCAGAGCCCAGCAGGTCGATGCTGGGGTGGCTGTGAGCGTGCCACTGCATTCCAGCCTGGGCAACGGAGTGAGACTCCAACTAAAAAACAAAAAACACATAAACCAAAACTATAAATGTGTTCCATGAGGATACTGAGACAGTATCCTGGAGACTGCTATTTTAACACATGAGCCATAAAGAGGGCAATGAGTATCCCCTTTTGCCAGGTTCTTGATTAGCAACTCCTTCTCTGTAGTTCTTGAAGTACTGAGGAACCCCTATGGAAAATCTCCTCACAGAGATCGTGGCACTTGTCTCCTAAGGTGCTCCAACTCTGCTTCTCTTCCAAAGAGAGAGGAAAAACCCAGGACCATATACTCTCACCTGGAGATGACTCAGAAATCTCTGAATGCAGAGCAGCGTGTGTGACTGGTGCTCAGTGTTAGCTAACTCAGCTCAGTATCTCTTCTTTTTTATTGTCACATTACAAAATGAGATGCCATAAGGAAAATACTTCCCAGCTTCATAATAGTTTCAAAGGAGCCACACTGAGGTATGCAAGTAATTAAATATGCAATTTAGGGAGCTTATCGAGTTCATTCAACTTTCAAAGTGAGAATGCTATACATTCGAACTCCAATGTGCCAGCCCATGAACATACCACAGGCTGTTTCTGATTCCTCTGAAAAACAAACACTCGTCTATTTCACAAAGCAATCTCCCCCATCACAAACAGATTTGTTTCTTCTCCCACATACTTGATACCTTTGCTTTTGTTTAGAAACAGTAATGACAGGCTCTTTGTTGGGTTCAGATTCTATTAAGAAAGCAGGATGGGCTGGGTGCGGTGACTGAAGCCTGTAATCCCAGCACTATGGGAGGCTGAGGCTAGGGGATTGCCTGAGCGCATGGGTTCGGGAACAGCCTGGGCAACTTGGTGAGACCTCATCTGTACAATAAATAAAAAAATTAGCCAGGCATGGTAGCGTGCACCTGTAGTTCTGGCTATCGGAAGGCTGAGGTGGAAGGATTGCCGGATCCCATCGGGCTGATGCTGGGGTGGCCATGAATGTGCCACTGCGCTCCAGGCTGGGCGATGGAGTGAGACTCCAACTCACAAAAAGAACAAAAAAGAAAGCAAGCAAGCATGATGTTCTATAAGCCAAACTGTGCTACATTTAAATGTAACATGGACAGTTACTCTGTGTTTCGTTCCAACAGGCAACTCTCCTGACAGCTGCACAGTGGATGGGTGTATCCTGACAACGCAGGAAGAAGAAGACATGATCAAGCAAAAGTGGAATCTTCCGATCCCTAAGTGGAAACCACTACTTCCAGCCACCAAGGTTCGAGTCGTGACGTGTAGGAGCCAGCACTCCATTTGGGCTATTTCACTCAGATTCACTGTTGTAGGATTAGCATACAACTCTGAGCCTTTGGCTCAGTTTTACCAGCAAAGTGAATGAGCTTTTGAAAAACCATATCTGCACACTTAAATAAGAATACACACTCTATTTCCCCCACTTTTGTATTTCCAAATTTGGTTGAAACAAAAAATCATCATGTGCTAAGGATATGCAAATGGACAATTGTTTCTGAATTCCATTTAACTTTGTAGAAGGGGTGACTAGCATTTTTGAAGCTATAGTGGTGTGTCCACCTGGGGATGGACGCTCTGAGTTATTCTAGCAGTTTCATCTTTGATTTAAAAGGAAGGAAGTGGCCATGGGAGGTCAGGGTGGAGGTGATGGCTGTTCCCACGTAACTATGGGGAACAGTCCCCGGGAGAGACCAATTTGACCTCTTCTTTCATTTCTTATCAGTTTGTCTACTCCATTATCTATTAAAACCAGACATCCCAGGGACCTGAATATTCATGCCAGTATTTTATTTGGGCATCCTGTCCCTACTAGCAAATTTTTATGTTAAGCCAAGTTATTATCATTCAGTAACTTTTATTTTTTTTTATTTTTTATTTTTTGCGTTGGAGTCTCACTCTGTCGCCCAGACTGGAGTGCAGCGGCTGCTCCCGGCCACCGCAGCCTCGACCTGCTGGGCTCCGGCGATCCTTCCGCCTCAGCCTTCTGAGTAGCCAGAATTACAGGCATGCGCTACCACGCCCAGCCGATTTTTTGATTTATTGTAGAGATGAGGTCTCGCTGCCCAGGCGGGTCTCGAACCCGCGGGCTCAGGCAATCCACTCACCTCAGCCTCCCAAAGGCGCGGGGTTACAGGCTGAGCCACCGAGCCCGGCTATAACTTTTATTTTTCAAGCCCTTCACTTAAGTCCCAGCTGAAGCGCTCATCTGGTCATGCACACCTTGTGATGACAAGGATCTCCATCTGTTTTCCAGCTATCCCCCAACCAAAGTCACTTGTTCGACAGCCTGACCCTGGAGCTTCAAGATGTCATCACTCACGCAAGGCTCACCATTGTCCCTGACGGGGGAGTGGGCCGCCTCCGGCTTAAGGGCTATCCCAGCTCCATCTGCCTCCTGCGGTCCCGGGAGAAGCCTATGATGAGGTTCGCAGTGAAGGTGGGCTTCAAAGCGAACCCCTAGCACACATCCAACGCTTGGGTTGGCGACCCAGAAGTACTCACTCTGTCATCGTCTTCAAGTGTCTTGAACACCTGAGCCTCCTGGTGATTTAATAAAGTGGTCATCTCACAAATTGATCTCTGTATTTAATGAGGTTGTGAATCATTTGGTAGCGTAAAAACTGGCTGTAGCTGCGAACGGCAAGCAGTCTGCAAGGAATTCCTTTGTTTTGAACGCCACAAAACACTGATATTTACAATATGCATATTCTGCACCTTCTGCGTGTAGATCCAGCGGGTAATATGTAGCCTGTTGCCTTTGAAAGTTTAAGCCCGTTGAAACCATCGGGAGACAGGACCCGCCTGTCTTTAGCCAGACAGGGAACGGCTTTCCTAGAGACCCCTCTCCCCGTGAGCCTTTCTCCCCGCAAGGGAGGGCGCAGTTGGAATGTTCTGCCTCTGAGACACCATACGCTAGCTGCCCCGGCAGCTCAGGTCCTCACCGGCTCAGGAGGGTTCTGGACAATCCTCGGATGGAGAAGCCCCTCGCCCACGCTCGGTCAGGAGTCCCAGAAGATGTCTGGGCTGAAGGGGCCAGACTTTCCCCAGTGACAGGTACAAGAAACACAGGCTCAAAAAGTGAAGCAGTTTCCAGCGCCCCCCCCCCGCTGGATGCCGAGAGGGTCCGGCCGCCCTTCCCGACACGCCGCAGAGGAGGGCGGCGCGTGTGGCAGGCAGGGCCGCGGGGGCTCCCAGAACACTCAGCACCCCCTCAGCCTGCCACCTCTGCAGGAACGGCCTCCTCCTCTCCTGGCTCCCCAGCCCCCCGCCCCCAGTCCCGGCTCTCCGCCGTCCCTTCCTCGCCCCGGCCCTCCGCCGTCCCCTTCCCCGGTGGTCGCTCTCGGCCGCCCCGCCCTCGTCCCGGCTCTCCGTCGCCCCCCCGCCCCGCATCTCCGTCGTCCCGTCCCCCCGTGCTGGCTCCCCGCGTCCCCTGGCCCGCCCCGGCTCTCGGCCCGGCTCTCGGCCGCCGCTCCGCTGTCCGGGTCCCCGCCCCTTCTGCGGGACGGGCAGGCGGCGGTCACAATCGCCCGGGGGCGCGTCAGCACAGGCCGCGCCCCTGTCGGCCGGTGCCGGGGGCGGCGGGTCCGCTGGGGGTCGCCAGCCTCTGCCGCCTGCCGGCTCAGATGAGCGGGCAGCGAGGAGCGGGCGCGGCCGGGGGCCCCCGCCGGCCCTGCGCGCTGGTGGACACCACGCCCGCCAAGACCATCGTGGTGTTCCGCAACGGGGACCAGTTCTCCGTGGGCAGGAGGTTCGTGCTGGAGCGGCGCCGCGTGGCCACCTTCGAGGCGCTGCTGGAGCGGCTGACCGAGCAGGTGGACGTGCCCTTCGGGGTGCGGCGCCTCTACACGCCCACGTGTGGCCACCCGGTGCGCGAGCTGGACGCGCTGCAGGCGGGCGGCAAGTACGTGGCGGCCGGCCGCGAGCGCTTCGAGAAGCTGGAGTAAGTGCGGCCGCCCCGCCCCCTCCACGCCCCCCCACGCCTGCCGCCCCCGCCCCTCCCGCGCCTTCGGGGCTGGCTGCCCTCCGGTCCTGAGCGCCGTCGGTCCCCCCCACCCCGCTGTGCCACCCCTTATGCTTTATAGATTCACTGCGGTGACTGGGGCCTCTCCTTCGGGCCCCCGCCCTCCCGAGCGCTCTTAAGGGGCACACAGGCCACCTGCAATCAACAAATCATGACCATTCAGAGACAGTTAGAAAGGGGATGGGGTGGGGCGGGCAGGCACTTGCAGTTTGAAATAGGCCATGCCGGGTGGACCTCTCCGAATGCGTCTTAGTTTCTTGATCCTGTGTGCATTTTTAGGCTTGCCTTGAATGAAAATATTGGCCTTCCATGGTTTGTATCTATGTTACTCCAACGCCAGAGGTTGGTGGGGTCCTGTTGCTTGCTGCACAGAAAACCAGTCACTGAGAAGATGAATATTGCTAAGAAAGACGGCTTTCTATTTGGGTGAAAGCAGCCTCTGCCTCACCTCCTGAGGATAGGAGATTCTGCTTCAGATCTGTCTCCCCATCCCAATAAAGTCAGGGGTTTTATACAGTGAGGCAGGAATGTAGAAAACAGGAATTAGGGCAGGATCTGGCATCTCATTGCCTGGATGTGGTGATCTGGTGAGTTTCAGTTCCATAATGCTATAGGCCAGAGGGTTGGTTCTCTGCAAAAGGAACCAGCTTTCAAACTTTAACAAAAGTATGGTCAATTTCTATGTTTATTAAAAAACAAAAAAATGTAACCATTAGTTCTATGGGGGAAATTGAACCAGTTTCAGGTATAATCCCAGTATTAAAGACTGTGTGTGCTATATTTGTTGTTTCAGCTGGTTTACACATTATTTTTTGGCTGTGAACTACTCCTTTTCCAGAGTTTTATGTGGGGGAAATTGTTTAAGGGCTGAGTTAAAAATGAGGTTCTCTAGAGAGTATTTTCATTTTCTTTTTTCAAAAGCCACAAATGCTCTCAATTCAGGTATACTATGAATTAAATGAGCAGTTCGAGGTTTTTTGGGGGATGGGGGTTGGGAGAGGAATAGTATGATTTAGTATGAGGGCTAGTATGTGGTTCCAAATTCTTATTTTTTTTCTTTTCTTAAGACAGAGTCTTATTTTGTCATCCAGGCTGGAGTGTAGTGGCATGATCATGACTCATTGCAGTCTCAATCTCTTGGGTTCAGGCAATCCCTCCACTTCAGCCTCCTGAGGAGCTGGGACTACTGGCACATACCGCCACAACCAACTAATTTTTAAAATTTTTTGTAGAAACTAGTTCTTGCTACATTGTCTAAGCTGACTCAAACATCAGGGCTCAAGCAATTCTCCTGTCTCGACCTTTCAAAATGCTGGGATTACAGGTGTGAGCCACTGCACTCAGCCCCAAATTCTTAATGGCATTTGGAAAGTGAAAATTTAACATCTCATTGGTTTTGAGGAAAAGAATCATAACTTGCAGGCATTACAGTTGCTAAGAGGTAGAGTCTGGATTAATGTCACGACATTTTAGGTTGATATTTATTACTATGATAATCCTGTTAAGTAGGCAAATTCATGAACAAGAATATATGTCTTTGTACATATGTGTTTTTGTGATTGTTCTTCAGGATTAATCAGTTGATATGAATATCTAGAACTGATTTCCTACCAGAATCCAGTTTTCAGTGTTGTTCTGCAAAAACAAAAGAATATATTTTTACAAGAACTGGCTTTTTAAAAAGTCCTTTTCAATACACATATAGTGAAAATTATTTAATTTTTATCCCAGAACATTTTCTTGTAAAATTGGCCTACGTTTCATATGTTAGCAAATGAGAAAAGAAACTTGTAAAGCACCTGCCATGAAGCCTGGAGCTTACCCGGTAGATGTTACTTTTTCCCCTTTCCCGTGAGTCTAGACATTTCCTAAGAAGCACTGTTATACCTTTACTTGTGTGGAGTTTCATGGTTTATTTAAGATGTTTTGGAGATGTTGCAAAAATATTAAGAAAAAAATTTAGGTGTTTCCCTTGCCAGCGCTCTGAATGTTTATTTTCTAGGAGGAAGAAAATATCCTGAATGGGCGGGGGGTGGGGAGATTCTGTGTGGTTGATGACCTTGGCTATTTTGCAGTATACATTATTCATTGCTATAAAATAGATGGGCAGTATTTGTATGTGGGTTTCAACATGGAGAGGCACTTGAGTTTTATTTTTATTTGCTACTTTTTAGGTCAGTGAAGTATAAAATCGGAATCTCTGAAAAATGTTGTGGCTGGATTTTCACTGGCATCAGTAAACCAGCACTTGATGGAAATTGATGTTCTGTAATTACTAAGCCATTAAGGGGTTAAACTTAATGTTTACTGGAAAATGGTATTCTACTTGTATCTCAAGCAAATGAACTTTGAAGTGAAGCTTGTTGATATATGAGCCTGGAGATCCCCTCATAATAAGGGCTGAGACATTACATGGAAGAGACAAACACCATAAAAATCTATCCAATATCCAGTCATTATTCAAATGTTTCCTGCATTTTCTGGAATAAATTATTTTGAGATGAGCATAATTTTTTCTCTAAAACAAAATGGTATAGGCCAATAATTACTTTTCAGAAAAGTGTCTTATAAAGCCTAGAATTAATATTTCTTTAGTGGAGAAAGCCATATTTTCAACAAAATCTAAATCAAGGTATTGCGTATTTGCACGTGTGTGTGTGTGTGTGTGTGTGTGTGTGTGTGTGTGTGTATGTGTGTGTGTTTGAGAGAGGGACCCCAAAAGAACTATAATAAAAATACTGTCCTACATAAGAGCTTATTGTTGAGACACAAACGTGAAAGGCGCTATTTAAATCAAAGCACCCCAACGTTTCCCTCTGATCTCCCTTGCTACCTACCCTTTCATACCCTGGGAACTAGTAGATAACAAGAAAAAAAAGGAAAGTTGGGTGGAGAGGAAGCTATGGCAGAAGAAAGGAAAACTGTCCTGAAACTGAACCTTGTTGGGATTGAATCCTGGCTTTTTCTACCTAAGTAACCTGCAGCAAATTAAATACCTTTCTGAGACTCAGTGTCTCCATCAGTATAGTGGGATTGTTTGACGTCTACTCCATAGTATTATGGAGAGCATTAAATGGATGCAGTACCATAAAACTGCCTGGCACTGACTCTCCTGGTTGGTTCCACCTTTATTCCCTGCAAGTACACAGGAGGGAAATTGCACACAGCTGCCCAGTTTTTGCTTCCTGCTCCCTCCCAAGGCAACCTAAGCCCACCCAGGAAGTTTTTCCAAGTGCCTGGTTTAAAGACCCCAGGCCATTGGACCTCTGAGGAATTATTTGGTCCCTTGTTCTGTTCTTTTTATTGGTTCTTGGGGTGCAACGTTGGAAACAATAGTATTTTGTGCTTTTGTAGAATCTTTTGATGCCTTAGTTTTTCTGCTTTAATTTTCATATTTTGTTTCCAGTTAGTGATAATTGGTTGTTTCATTTGGAAGATTAATGTTCATGAACAAATATGAAATTTGGGAATTTAGGACTAAGTTAAAATATCTGTTTGGAAAAATATGAAGATTAGAAGTTAGTAAAGAGTGTGTATAGGGCCTTTAAGAGA